TGGAAGAATTGCTTTGAAGCCATCAAAACAAAGTTCTATTTAAGAGCACATTTTACCTTTCAGTTCAAAATTGGTGGATTTTTTCCACTTGGAGAAAGCTCAACTTCTACATTTATTAATGACTGGAAAACCGTTATGAACTTTTTGCTGAAAAAAAGAAAAAAAAAAACCTTTACAGAAAGTGCTTGTATTCAAAACCAAAAGTGGTTTTGAATGCACTTTTTAAATTCTCTCTCTTTAAGGTTACATCATAATTTCCTTTTTCCCATAACCTACCATTTCTAATCATCAAGTTCAAAAATCAGAAGTTCGGTTTTTTTTTTCTTTTTTTCAGCAAAAAGTTCATAACGGTTTTCCAGTCATTAATAAATGTAGAAGTTGAGCTTTCTCCAAGTGGAAAAAATCCACCAATTTTGAACTGAAAGGTAAAATGTGCTCTTAAATAGAACTTTGTTTTGATGGCTTCAAAGCAATTCTTCCATTTTAATTTATACAGGCTACAGTATTAGTAATGGGGATTGTAAAACCTGAAACATAAACTTATCTTCTGAATGTATGTACATCACATTTCCTATGCAAAATATTTTCAGAGAAATGAAAGAAAAAGAACTGTAGAATTGTAGTTTATATCACAAATCAGAAATATATATGAGTAAAAGATACATTCTTCTTCTTTATATATTGGATAGATATCATTATATTATTGCTTGGGAAAATATCATGGATTTTTTTTATTCTTTCTGTCTTACCAGAATAAAAAACAAAACAAATGTTTTATTGCCCCAACCCAGATATCCACTGTATGCCTGCAGCAATTTATATATGATAATTGTTTTTCACGTAGCTTAATGAGTATTAACTTTTGTCCTTTCAGTCTAAGTTGGAGCTGTACAACTGTTTGTTGTTATAATTAACATTTCTGCCCTGAGAAACTCTGGGACTCTAACTCTAGGGTGGAAGTCAGACAAAAAACAAAACATGTATTATCTCATGACTCAAAATCCACAATTGGAGACTCGGTCAGGTGCAGGATGCAAGCATATAAAGCAGAGTACATATCACAGCATCACATGTGGGCTGGATGGCTGTGGTGTGTGCTGTGGGCCATCCAAAAGTTGCCTCAGCTGGGAACATTTTGGGCAGCACTGGGAAAGAAATCTGAGAAGATTCGCCTACTGGCTGGCTTGAAGCAATTTGCTGCCACCCAAATTACTTTCTGACGGTGAATTGGAGGTTCGCTTTGCTTTAGCGAAATGAATCCTGTTGCCTCCATGACCCTGAGTGTAGCACTGAAATCCACTCACTTTGCACAGGCTTAGTGAACTGAATATGAAGAACTGGAGACTACAGAACAGAGTAATTAATGCTATGATCTTTCCAATCATAGTGTACTGCTGTGAAAGTTGGACATTGAGAGTGATGGAAGGAGAGAAAAGAATGAATTATAGATCAGATAGCTATTATCTGAGTACCATGGACTGTAAAAAGACCCAAGTGATCCATGCATGAGCAAGTAAAGAATGACTCACTCACTCACTCACTCACTCACTCACTCACTCACTCACTCCCTCCCTCCCTCCCTTCCTTCCTTCCTTCCTTCCTTCGATAGTTGCCCAACTCACACATTGTGACTCTGGACAGCATGCCACATTAAAAATCCATAGTTAAAAATCATGGACTTGCAGAAAAGCAACGTGGAAGCCAATCTTATTGGATTGGCTTATTGCAACGTGGAAGCCAATCAAACCCCCAGCAAGAAATGGGGTGACTACGAGCCAAGGTGGCGCAGTGGTTAAATGCAGCACTGCAGGCTGCTGCTAGATCAGCAGGTCAGCGGTTCAAATCTCACCGGCTCAGGGTTGACTCA